ACTGCAAGATACTTTTCCATCTTGTCACTCCGCTCCTGCCTCAGGCTAAATGCTTGCTAGCACTGGCAGACAAAGGGACCTCCATCCCTATAGATTACACCAAATGTGGAACCATCACAAATCCTAGGTCTGTGGTGTTTTCTTTCAAAGCTGGTTGTGAATTCACCACAACGTTAAACATGGGAACTATATAGGATTATACTTTTTCACAAGCAATTATTGCAGAAAGTCTCTGGCTCTTAAATCGAAATTTCCATATGGAACAAAAGGCCAGAAATTTTGGGTTGGTGGGGCATGGAGAAATGTTGTGGGGCGGCGGGAGGGAGAGGGGTAGCCATACACCTTCCCTGAACTCCAAGCAGCGATTTTGCCGCTTGAAGATCAGGCATGGGCAGCTCCTGCTAGAAAAATAGCATTTAAAGGGTTCCCTTTAAATGCTGTTTTTCAAGCAGGGGCTGCCTGCACCTGAACTCCAAGCGGCGAAATTGCTGCTTGGAGTTCAGGGAAGGTGTGCGGCCAGCAGCCATCCCTCTCCCTCACCTCCTGCAAGATTTAAAGGGCCTGCTGACCAGCTAGAGGGCCCTTTAAATCTTGGAGGAGAGGAGGGAGAGGGGCAGCTGAAAGATTTAAAGGGCCCTCCAGCTGATTGGCGGACCACATGCTCCCGCCGATCAGCTGGAGGACCCTTTTAATGTCACTGGAGGGGGAGAGGAGGGAGAAGAGCAGCAGCTGTTGTGGGACGTGCCTCATATTTGAGGGGGCAGAGCCCCGACATGCCCCACCATAGCTACGGGCCTGATTATGAGACAGATTTTAGGAATATAAAAATTGCTTTGCTGGATCAGTCCAAAGTTTATATAGTCCAGCACCCTGTTCCTAATAGCTGCCAGAGATATGCCTTTGAAAACTTAACACATTTCCAAACCAGTTTTGGGGTTTGTTCCTGTCCCCTGGCAATCAGTGGCACCACCTCTGAACATGGAAGTTCCATTTATCATGGCCAAGAAGAGACGTTAAAAATCCTTCATGGATGAAGTATGGTCACTGGGTGGGCAAGGAGAGAGACTGTTCTTTCCACAGGTGTGGGTATTTCCTTCTCCACATGCCTCCTGGACAGCCTTTGTATCCGTGACCATGTCTCAAGGAATAAACCTATGCCAGATGCCCTGGGTTAGGCGTGATCATGGTGTGTCTTGGTAGTGCTTCAATATATCTTCTTCCAGTTGCCTACGCTTACTGGAAAAGAATTTCCCAGTTGAAAGACACATCTATATATCTATATATATGTGTGTGTGTGTGTGTGCCACAATGTATACTGTGCTTTGTTTAGAGGTGTGGGTGGCTTCTCCGCTATTGTGATTACATGTGTCAAGCAGCTACTGCTTAAACTATGCACTGAATAACATTCATGCCTTCACCCACTGTTTTCCACACAGAGGTTATCTTTGTGTTAGAAACAAACAGTGTATTAAGGGTACTCTAGCTTGGTCTACTCACTTGATGCATAGTAAGGTATGTCTGCTCCCTGCTGCTGAGATTTTATTTTAACTTAGTAGAGTTTCTCTTTTTCCTTCTGACTGCTGCATCAATATACAGGAAACTTGGGTAAGGGAGGATTTATTATTCTACCATGCAGTGTCATGCCAAAAGCAAAATAAAATACATTTGTCAACTGGCATTTGGTTTATATTTGCCTTGCAGAAAATATTCTCTTTGCGATTCAGTGCTGTGAATAAATGGAGTTGCTTTTTACCGGCCATCCAGATTAAAGAGTTATATTGGGGCCTCCATTTGAAATGGCCTTGAAGTGGAAAGCTGGCTCCTACAACAACATTCCTGTGTATCGGCCCCCTTTATCATCACAGTATTGTGTGAGAGCCCTAAATATGCCATAGTGGGACATTTACTGGTTCACTAGCACTTGGGTACCAAGAAAATGGCTCACACGCACAATGCTAGTATTGTTAATAGCTCCCTGTGTGAAGTGCGTGCACTCTGAAAGGGCAGCACATCCTTGGATTGCCTTCTGTCACTACAGTGAAGGCCGTATGCAGCAAGGCACATCATTTTGGCTTGTAATCACCTTCTGCGTAGAATTTTTTTACAGACTAAAAAACTCTGCTGAGGCAAATAAAGCAACTGCCAGAATATAGCCACTAGAGAGTGTCAAAGTACAATGTAAGGACTGTATTAAAATGATGCTGGGGTATAAGTGGAAAGAAGTAGAAAATAATTAGCCATTTATTCCAAGGCATTTTGATTTCCATAAGGGTCAATGGAAATAACAGCAAGTTTGGTGACAGAGAAGAGCAAAGTAGTAAAATGTGCTTACTTGTTTTCACACCCATTTTGATCTGAAGCAATATCTTTTCTGCATTAAAACACCAATTTAATATTCTTAATGAAGTATTTGTACTATATCATCTTTCGCCTGAAAGAGCACAGCATAGTGACAGGAATAAAGTCTTGCTCAGATCCATGATCTAATTCATAGGAATTGTGACTTTACAGGTCACATCTTTATTAGAGATCAGCACATATGGGCTTTGTTGATATTCTCTGAGTACGAATCAAAAGGGTTAACTACTGATAGACCTTTTCTCAAAATTAGAAGCCCCAGAGGCTCTTCACATAGCTGCTGTTTAAATTTCACATTGCTAAGTTAAAACAGGTGTTTGTACAATACAATTCTGCTGGAATAACAATGGACACATAGTTCATAGTTGTTTGTGCATATAATGGTTTAATATTGTAATATATGATCGTTCAATGCTGAAATTAATTATATTGATGTAGGATAGTACTGTAAAACAAGAGGGTGTTTTTTTTTAATTGTTTGATGATTTACAATGAAAACTGTTTGAAGGATAGGGAAATCAGAGGCATGCAAGGCCAGATTTAGACTTGCTGAGGTCCTAAGCTATACAAAACCCAGAGGCCCCCTACTGTTTTAAATTACATCAGCTGGTCTCAGAAAAATTTAAAATTTAAAATATATACGCCTTTTTAATATTTGAAACCATTTTTTATATTGTGTTTTTATTCGAGGCCCCAGCAGATTGCGAGGCCCTAAGCTGTAGCTTATTTAGCTTATGCGTAAATCCGGCACTGGTTGCATGTTTTGCCACCTGAATTTGACTATGGCATTCACATGTTGTGAGGAAAAGTTCATTATTATCCTAAGTAACAACATAATGATATAGGGTTGGATCCAGACTAAATTAGCAATTTCTTCCGATTCCCCTTTCCTGCTGCAGAGCCCTCTCATGACATCCCTCAGTGGTGAGCTGGGAGGCAGGAAATTTCCATTCTGCCCCTGGAAAATTTACTCTGAATCCAACCCATAGTTTTAAGTACCCCACTCTGAGTGTCTTGAAGTTAAGACAGGATAGAAATGTTATTGACTGATTACAAAACATGTTAGCAATCTGTTTTTCCCCTTGTCTTTTGGCTGCGTGAAGTATTCCTTTCAGAACAATAGTTGTGAGCCTGCTGTCTCACCAAGTCCTGCTACAGAATTTATATGACATTTTGTTGGAAGAGTTTGTGAAGGGGCCTTCTCACTCAGAAGAGAAGACTGTGCAACAATTGCCAGAAACAAAATTGGCTGGCTTCCTCAGATACATTTCCATGCAGAATTTGGCTGTCATCTTTGACTTACTGCTGGACTCCTATCGGACAGCCAGAGAGTTTGATACAAGGACTGGGTTGAAGTGCTTGCTCAAAAAGGTCTCTGGCATCGGTGGAGCTGCCAACTTGTACCGCCAGTCAGCAATGAGCTTCAACATCTACTTCCATGCCTTGATCTGTGCCATTGTGACTAACCAGGAAAACATTACTGCAGAACAGGTGAAGAAGATCCTCTTTGAGGATGACGAAAGAAGCACTGACTCATCCCAGCAGTGTTCTTCAGAAGATGAAGATATATTCGAAGAGACAGCGCAAGTAAGCCCACCTAGAGGGAAGGAAAAGAGACAGTGGAGGGCCAGGCTGCCATCTCTAAGTGTCCAGCCTGTCAGCAATGCAGACTGGGTTTGGTTAATAAAACGGCTTCATAAGCTGTGCATGGAATTATGTAATAACTATATTCAAATGCATCTAGATTTGGAAGGTAGCACAGAAGAACTCCCAGTCTTCAGAGGAGACCCTTTCTTCATCCTTCCATCCTTTCAGTCTGAAACCTCCACTCCATCTACTGGAGGGCTATCTGGGAAGGACACCCCTTCTGAAGACGACAAAAGTCAAATTAGGGACTCTTTTACAGAGACTATCACTCCTAAAGGAGGGAGCGGAGATATGCTGCTGCTTCCACCCTTGAGTCCCAAAACAGAGAAGAAGGACCAAGGCAGGAAAAAAGAATGGTGGGAGAGCGCTGGCAACAAAATCTACACCATAGCCACAGACAAAACCATCTCGAAACTCATGACAGAATATAAGAAGAGGAAACAACAGCATAACCTGGCCACTTTTGCCAAAGAGATGAAAGCTGACAAGAAAGGGGATTCACTAAGTACACGGGGGGCAGATTCACCCCTCCCACAAAGGCCACAAAATTTGGTTGATCAAGGCCAAATGAGGCACTCCTTCAGTGCAGGCCCAGAGATTCTGAGGCAAGAGAAGAGGCCACGATCTGGGTCCACAGTCAGCTCACTTAATATATCTGTTCGGGATGGTGAGGCACAAATACAGGTAAGGCAAACAAGGCAGAGGTGTGACTAAAATGAAAGAAAGTATGCCTTATATACTCTGATTGAAATCATTCCCGTGTTTGGGTCCCAGCAGAAAGTATGCCTGCTAGAAGCTTTCATTAGTTGATTTTAAACACAGGGCTCTCTTATTTTGGGACTGCAAGGCCAGTCTTAAGCGACTGGTACATTAGGCAACATATTAATGTGTCACATACTTATGCGTTAAACAATGCAACTTCCTGGCAAGAATGGTTTACAGAATATGAACATACATAAATAAAAACATAATTAAATCACTTGAATTAAAACATATCTCGTTAAAACCCCACTCTATCCTGCTTTTTAGCTTCTGTCAAAGCTCAGAAAAGACCCTTTACAAGGGCTAGCTCCAAATTTTGGAGGGCTCTCAGCAAGATGTTGCTGAATGATCACCACCCCCCACTTCTCACTCCCCAGGACAGGGGGAAAGTGGTGGCAGTTCTTGCTGCCGGTTGCCTAACTGGGCATCCATTGATGGCTGCTAAGAGCTGCCAGCGCCCCTTGCTCACCTGACCCTCTCTCACTGTGCAGCAGCCATGATAAGAGAAAGGCCTCTAAAAAGGATGACAGGGGCTATCCTAAAGGAGAGGAGGAAGCTGTGGTGATTGTTGGTTCACCTTCTGTTTAGTCTCTCACCCACGTGGGCAAACCAGCAAGTGGCCATGATTCCAAGGAGCAGCTATTTCTGCTGATTTCCCTCAGGGCGATGGCAGCAAGCTGGCTTGGCGTAGGGAAACTGTTGGTTCCCACTATAAGAATGCTGTCCTGCCTGGTGCTTATAAATATGTGTTTGTGTGTTTGTGTGTGTGTGTGTATACATTAAAAAAGAAATAAGGGTACAGAAAATAGAAAGGGAAGGGGGGAGTTGAAAGGGTAAATAGAATTTTTCCCCTCCATTTACAGTTATCAAGGACTTTCAAAGGTATAGATAATGGATAATATATAAAATATGTATGTCAGTGATAAGCTTGTTCAAGAATATTTCCATTCTCAACCTTATTACAATGTTTATATTTGTGGCTACATCAGAAACAGGGAGAGAAGGAAACAGAATGAAGTAAAAAATAATTAGTTCTGTTTCCATACACTATACCCCTGTTTATTTAAAAGACTGTTTTTAGATTAAAACTAGCAGTTCTATAAACTTTAAATATTAAATATTTAACCTTAACATTCATATTGCTTTCTTTCAACTTAAATTCTCATAATAACTACTTCAGAGTAATATCTCAAGCTATAATTAGAAAACCGAATAAAATATATCAATGAAGTGTTTTAATTAAATTGCATATATAAAATGTTGAGTATAATAGTAAATATAGATTTTTCTGACAATTTGTACTGTTTTTTAGATTCAACCATATTAATCCTTTGATGATTTTAAAGTACTACCTTGAACTATGAATGGAAATATATCAGTGAAGCATTTTGACAAAATAAGCAATATATAATATATATATATGGAATATATGTGAAATATGGAGCTCTACCAGTGTGCTTTTAACATTACAGCTATCACTCTTTGTACTCCTGGTTGGAAAATCAAGCATGTTTTAATTTTCATTTAATTCTGCTTTGTTCCCAACAACATTCCTATTTTACATATGCATACATTTGCAGATATCTATTATTGTGAGTGTGGAATCGGGTTACTATAAAGGGGTCTTTCCTATTGGCCTGGCCAAAAGTGGCATGTCCAGAGCAAGCCATTCGTCAAGGATTGTGTTTCTTAAGGATTGTAGGTGTTTTCTCAGTGGTCTCAATTGTTGGGAAATGAGTTTGTCAAAGCAGTCATCAGAGCCTGAAGGAGGTGACCCAGCCCCAGGCAAAGGGAGGGGGCAGATGAATGTCTGTGTATGAAGAAAGAAGTTACTTTCAGAGAGCAACAATTCTCCATGGAGCTCCTGGTGCCACTGCAAATCCAGAGGAATTCACAATAGCAATGCAGGCTCCACATGGCAGTGCCCCCCAATGTGGTGCAGTGGTTAGAACATCTAAGTAGGACAAGTTCAAATCCCCACTCTGCCATGGCAATTCGTTTGGTGACTCTGGGGCCAGTCACACACTCTCCGAACCTACCTCACAGGATTGTTGTGAAGATAAAATGGAAGAGGGGAGAATGCTGTAAACCACTTTGGATCCCCATTGTGGAAAAAGGTGGGGTATTAATGAAGTAAATAAATAATTCCCATGTCTCGGCCCTTGTGGCCACTGTTCCCCCCACATAGACCACTGAGAGGTGCCAGGCAGGGGCTCTTATCAAATCAGCAATCGCTAAAACAGTTCCATTGTTTTAAAGCCTCAGGTGGTATACCTGAAGAAATGGTGGCCATTGGTGGGGGGACTGAAACAAGGAACATAATGCAAAAAGCATTACTGCAAAAAAAAACCCCATCACTTAGAGTAGTGGGGAGCATGATCATATCATATATTATAAAATATAATGTTAACCTGTTGTTCTCTTTGCTATTTATATGGTGTTATTTTTATACAGCACGGCCCATTTTCTCAGTCTTTTTTAATTCTCTTGCTACTTCAGGCATGGACCAATATGGTGCTGACCGTTCTGAACCAGATTCAGTCCCTGCCAGACCAGATCTTCACAGCCCTCCAGCCAGCAGTGTTCCCCTGCATCAGCCAGCTGACATGTCATGTGACTGACATCCGGGTTCGTCAGGCTGTTAGAGAATGGCTAGGAAGAGTGGGGAGAGTTTATGACATAATTGTATAGTAGTTATATCGTTTGCATTACCAAGTAGAGATTTGCATCTGAGGCGCTTCAAGGCATACAAACTACAGCTATTGAAAATTTACCTTTTAGCACTGGTAGACAGCTGTACATGTAGCTGCCTATTTGGTGTTAATAACTGACCAGGTTTATCACACGCTGTTAACTGCTTAAGAGTGTGACTCAGTCTTGCTTATACCTAGAACAGCATGTGATAAAATACAGTTTACTCAGTGCACTGAGTATCACAAAATAATTAAAATCTGAAAATGCTATTAAATCAGGCTGACACATGGATACTCAGCACACATGATGTTGCATATTTTCCATGAATGAAAAAGATAGGACTATTTTTCTTCAAGAGGAAAGGAGAGATGGCAGTGAAATGCAGTTAGTATGAAATGGTCATCTTCATAAAACATGTTTGTGAGGAAACAGATTAAAGACCTCCATTTTCAAACCTTCAGTGTCACTGACACCTCTTTACTCAAGTGCAATTTTGTCCTCATAAATAAAAAAATATTTATGTTCAGTCTTTTTAACTAGTACCATGGCTACTTAGATGGTTTTAGCACAGCATCTCACTGTGCCCTAAAATCAGGCAAGTTCATATTTGAAACAATTTGTGTTTGTACCAATAAATTCAAGAATCAGTGGAAGTTGTAAACTAAGGTAGGATCCACAAGTTTTTGGATATTGTGCTACTGCAGTCTTTTCCCCCAGGATTTTTTTGTATGTGCGAATAGAAAAATCAAAGAGACAAAAAATTACAGTAGCACAATACCGCCTGATCTTTATATCTAGTTCATTTATTTTAACTTGATATTTCCTCTTGCAAAGCATGCAATGAAAAACGTGCCTTCCAATTTAAAAAAAAGCATTGATTTTTAAAATTACCAGCAGAAAAGTCATGGCAGGCCTTCAGCAAGTAGAGCCCCTCCCCCACCAAGTTGCCTGTGGGCTTCTGAGACACATTTTATATAATTTCTTGTTATCCTAAATGCCGAAAACTATCTTAGCCCTGCAGTTAGCAAATTCAGAGATGGAAGGGGTAATCTTCTGGAAAAGTGCATGTCCCATTGCCACAGATTTCAAGTGGCTTTTACCCACTTTTGGCATCTCATGCAGAAGAAAAAAATCTTACATACTGCTCTTCTTTATTCCCTGCAAAATATAATCCCCTAAACCAATTTAGCTGTTCCTGTGCTAACTACCTTCCCGCACCCCTGCATCACACATTGACTAGGTTTTAAAGTTCAGTGGCAAGCCCACTTTTTATTACCTGCGGTCATCAAGAGGAAATAACCTAGCATTCAGACAGCAAAAATTAGAGTCACCTCATTTTATTCTCACAACTACCATATCAAGTAGGCTAGGCTGAGAGAAGATGGTTGACCCAACATCATCCACTAAGCTCCCTGGTTCTCTTAGAGCCTTTTCCCAAAGTCAGCCTCTCCAACCTGTTTTGCTACATAGAAGGTTATTCATTAGGGGCTACAAATGTGGGTGTGGACACTAAAGTATTACTAAAACCATCCTCCTCAGATATGTCTGCCATCCACACAGGTATGTGTCCTTTGCCAGATGTAGAACATACTATGTTGTTCCGACTGATTCCTGCCACTCTGGTTTTGAGGCCAACTCCACAGCCAAGGCTAGCAAAAAGGTGCGTGTTTTAGGGGCACCATCTTAGTAGCCTGTGATACAAGTGAAGTGGAATCCTTTGCAAGTTCACAGAAAATGCTAGAGCACAACCTTGCACATCGTCTTGGGCTGGCCCCTGTGAAGTTTCTCCAGATCCATTAGGAAGGCACACAAGAGCCTTCCTTCCGAACAGCCTGGTTTCTGATGCATTGTTCCTTGCCTTGAAGGGTAGCATCAACATCTTCTTTGCACCCCTTCTTTTTCCTGTTTAGTTAAATCAATATAAGATAGTGAGTGAATGTGCAAGTTCTGTCAGCTGCTCAACCCTTGTGTCCATTGACTAGAGATTATGATGTTCTTTGCAAAAGAAACTGCTACTATGCCTGGGTGACTTGATTACATGTTCTGGTTTTATTTTGGTTTTCAACTTAAATAGGCAGTGTTTCTATGGCTCTCTTTGTGAAGTTGGATTTTTTAGGGGAACATTTTCAAGTGGTGCACGCCTACGTTGTTTGTTAGTGGGATTTTATATGCAATTCTAGCTTGTCATTATAAGCATCTATTTAGCAGAGTCATTAAGTAGAGAGACAAACATAAATCACACTCAGGATTTCTGCATCCATTCCCCCTCCACGCCAAAAAAAAAAAAGATTCCTGAATTGTAAAAGTAGCTCTTTTTATGCAGTATGTGCTATTTGGACCAATATTATGAATTCCAAATGTCCAGAGGGTAACTGCTAGTCTTCATTATGAGGAAAGACAAAAAGTAGTTGTTTGTCTTAAGGGGTAATAATTAGTAATTACCGTATGGCAGTGGGTGTAGTATAGCCAGGAGATCCGAAGATTGTCTGGCAGTCTGAAACTCTAGCTCTTTTTGTGCTGAGCTGGGTTTATTTTGGGGGCTGAGATAATTGTGACTGGCCCAAGGTCACCCAGCTGGCTACATGTGGAAGAGTGGGGAATCAAACCCAGCTCTGCAAATTAGAGCCCGCCACTCTTAACCACTACACCAAACTGGCGCTCCTTGTTTTAAGGGATAGTTGACTTTATAACCAGCGGCTGGAGACAACTTGAGATCTTTTCCCCTTGTAGTTGTGACCTAATAGATGAATGGTTTGTATTCAGCAGCAGGATGGTTGCTCCACTACTATAGCAAATCTTCTTTTTAGGTGTTAACCATATATCACAATATGAAAGCTGGCCTCAAATACAGCATGTTCTGGGCATGTTCTATACAACATGCTCATGGTCCAGGCAGGTGAAGTTCAGGGGTGAAATGGGGACTCTGAGACAGTTAACAGAGTGATATTGGGAGTTTGAGGGAGGGTTCTGTTGTTTTGGTTGTCCGTGAAGAATTGCCACAAAGTGCTACTGAAATGAATGTATAGCCTTAAGACTACAATTTTCAGAACAGCTATGCTCTGTAAAGAATAATCCTGTGTGTGTGTGTGATGATCTGCATATAGTTACACTGCAGCAAGAGCTTTCCTGCTCTCTTCAGTGGAGGCAGCATGTCTGTCACAGCCCTTTATGCATGCAGAGTTGCCCCTTTCACGAGAGCAAATTAGGGAACTGGTGCAAAGAGGGAGCTGTGTACATGTGCCAGAGTTTCTATACCTACCAAGCATTCCTGATCCGAGTAGTCATCTCTCCAGTGAGTATTAGGAGGCTTAAATCCACAGGAGCCAGTCATATATCCTTGATTCTTAAAGTCGTTGGTCCTTTTCCCTGTTCATAAAGGGGCAAGAGACCAGACACCAGGGCAATCATGTGCTCCTGTAAAAAATGGCATCGGGTGTTTGGGAGAGGGTAAACGTTTACACCACTTCTCCAACGTGCAGAGGTGAGGTGAGTGTATTAATGAGGGCCTAGAGTGTGAAATTACGCAGTAAAAAAACTATACAGAAAATGCCTGAGTCTCGCTATCTCCTCTCCTTCTACAACACTAAATTCAACTGATCTTGTATCCCAGGGGTGGCCAAACTTGCGTAATGTAAGAGCCACATACAGTAAACGTCAGATGCTTGAGAGCCGCAAGACATGAACAAATATTACACATTTTTACTGCTTTTTATTAACATTAAATGAGACTGCCAAAAATAATAACAAAAGCGGTAAAAGCAGATATTGATAATGATATTTATTTGTTCAGTGATATTTGTTTGCTAATAATATTTAGCTTCCCCGCCCCCCTGCCGGGAGCCACACAATATGTGTGAAAGAGCCGCATGCAGCTCCCGAGCCACAATCTGGCCACCTCTGTTATATCCTGTCATCATTGCTCTGAGTAGGGTTGCCAAGTCAAAAAAACTCACCGGCGGGGGAGCCTCGCCGGGCTACGGGAGCTGTCTCTGGATGCGCGTGTGCCGCCAGCACGTCACAGGAAGTGATGCGCGACGTCAACCACGTTGAGGGCATGGCCCCAATCGTCGGAGGGAAAACCCTTCGATGATCCGGGCCACGCCTCCCACGTGGTCGACGTGGTCGCCCCAACGTGGTCGACCGGAGCCACGCTGCGCTTCGGGGGCAGGAGTTCCCCCCGGGGCCTGATTCCGCAGCGGCGGAAATCGGGCCTCCAAAGCGGGGGTTTACCCGCCCTACCTGCCCCCACTTGGCAGCCCTAGCTCTGAGCATTTTCTTGACCAACCCAAAACAGTTCATTGAATCTGGGGCAGGAAATTGCTTGGCATAATGATTTCAGAATACTTGAATTACATATTACAGAACAAGAGGAGAAAATTCAACACAAGATCGCCACTTTGGATGACAGACCCTTTTTTTTTGCTAACATAGGTCTGCTCACAGGAAGCACTCTGTTTTATATAGAGGGGGGAAATATATGCATTAAAGATCTGCAGCAGCTGTCTAGAGCATCGAGGCTATCTATTGTACGGCAAAATTACCAACAGAATACCAGATCCTGCAGTAGCTACCGTTTGCCATGTGAAGTACTAAGCCAGTCATTTCTCTGTCCATGAAGTGAAAGCCTGAAAGGAATAGATTGTCAGTTTGTTCTTTTATGCCAAAGATTTGATTTGTTAAAAAATGGGAATACTAAAAAAAAGTCCTGTAACAGTATCGACTGCCGTGATATTTTCCATGCAGCAATGAAATTACAGGAGTTCAAAAGGTTTTTGAAGGAGGCAAGTAAAATGGGGGCCAGTGCAGCCACAGCTCTCTTGCCGTCATGGTGAGTGTGATATTGGAGGTTTGCAGTCCCTCCACATCCAGTTCTCCAAGCATAGGGAGGCCTGCTGACAGGAGGGGAGAGTCGCTGGTAGGAAATTCCAAGGAGGGTGTGGCAAGGGACTGGATCCACTCCCCATTTGTCATCTTTGCACTCCAGATAGGGTGACTAT